TATAGAGAACTATAGTAAACCAGAAAATATAAAAATCTGTCATACTCCATTTAAAAAATCCTGTTTGGGCTAATGAAATTGCTCAAGGTCATAGGATGAGTAGGAAGCAGAACTAGGACCCGTCTGCTATTCACTGCCATCTCTCTGGATAAGAACTAAAGCAAGACACCAGTTAGGGGGGTAATGATTAATTAGCCTTTGGGTGAAATGGTTGGTGTCTAGACTTAAGGAGATGGCAGTGGGAAAGGTAATAAAGGCATAAATATAAAAATATTCAAAATAAGAGTCATTAATTCTAGGTGAATGATTGAAAAAAATGTCAAGGTTTTGAATCTTAAAAGTATTTTTAAAAAGGAAAAAACTCAAGGCAGAAACAGTTTGCAATTGGATTTACTCAGTATTATAGAATAAATCATGAGCTAAAGTTACAATTTAGATTCAGTTTTAAAAACTTATACAATTTGCATCCTTCTGTATCTTATTGCCACTTGAAGATTTAAAAAGCAACCTTAGATAGAACCTTAACTGTTAAACAAGAGATACAAAATTGAGTTTCCATTGCAACTTGGCAATGAACCTGAAAAAAGAGTCTATCTAAATCTGAAGACTTAGCATAGCAAAATATAAAAATGTAACAGTGTAGTGCATATAAAATATAATTATAAATACAATAAAATCTGATTTCAAATTCATGTTTGGTACAATATGCATGACATCCTACAATTACATTTTGCTTAATGTTATTTTGCTCTTTCAAAATCATACTGCTAATAATCATTGCCAAATATTCAAAATGTATTTTAATTTCAAATTAGTAATATTAACATTCACTAGTAAATCAATAACAATGCAATGGTTATATGTAAAACTTACTTCTGGGCCCCAAGTTAGAGGAAAAGACTACGTATAATCAGCAAGTTTCTATATATAAATCCTATCAGCCACATAGGATTATCAATATATATAAAAGGCTAAGTGACTGACCAGACGGTCACTGGCAATCTATTAAAAGCCCAGCGACCCTTCTGGCAGAACGACCAGAACAACTGGTCGCTATGACGCACACTGACCACCAAGGGGCAGACGCTCAACGCAGGAGCTGCCCCCTGGTCGTCAGTGCGCTCCCACAGCGGGCGTGCTGCTCAGCCAGAAGCTGGGCTCACAGCTGGCGAGCACAACGGCAGTGGTGGGAGCCTCTTCCGCCTCCGCGGCAGTGCCGAGGAGCAGTGAGCCAAGCTGTAAGGAGTGAGCAGGCAGGCAGTTAGGAGTGAGCAGGTGGGCAGTAAGGAGTGAGCAGGTGGTGGTTCTGTTAGGAGCAAGGGGTCCCAGATTGCAAGAGGGAAGTCTGACTGCTGATCAGGCCTAAACCAGTAGTCGGACATCCCCCGAGGGGTCCTGAATTGCGAGAGGGCTCAGGCCAGGCTGAGGGACACCACCCCCCATTCACAAATTTTGTGCATCGGGCCTCTAGTTTAAAAATAAACGTTTACTCACACATGCGCAATACATAAAAACCTCTCGCTGGCACCACTTGCACGCGTGTGTTTCAATCTGTCATTGTCAATTATGAATTTGGTTGACACTTCTATTATACAGAAAGGGCAAACAGCGATATTAAAATATTTCTTCTAATTAATTTCCTTTCAATGTGCATGTATCCGTGCACCGGTCCGCTAGTAGTAATTATGAGGCTGAAATAAACCCTGTCTCAAGAATCCAGCATACAGCCTTGTCTTTCCCTATACCTGATTTTAAGGCCCCAAAGTTAAAAATGTTTTCTGTGGAAACTCAACTAAACTCCAATGTGACAGATCAGGCATGATTTGGCAGACCTTCCTACCCACCTACTTCAATCTTAGGCCTAGAGGAGACTTTAACTGCAAGCCTTACCAGACTGAGCTCAAGTTCTTTTATTCCCCTCTCTTTATTTTATTTGTTTACGTTTAATAATACAAAGGACACCTGGAATTCATCACTGAAAGGAGACCTGGAACTTTGACAATAAGACCTGTATTTGCTTATATGCTTACTCCCCTATCCATCCACCTGCTTCCTCTCTTCAGGCCACAGGTTCTCATTAAAGGCAGTACTAGATATTTTTCAAATGGGTATAATACATACAGCAAGTCATACAACGAAGCATATATTCATGTAACTGGAATAAAAAAGCAAGGTCTGGTAAAAATGGTTGATTAACAGTGGCAATGAAAAGTAGCACAGATTCTTTGGAAAAAAATTTAGCAAAAATGTATAAAAAGCAGCTCTAAAGATTAATACCCTCTAACCTCATAAACTCATTTCTATAGAACCAATCCCAAGAAAACAATAAAAAAAGGAAAACACAATTTGTAACAAGATGTACATCACAGTGTTATTGATAAGAGGGAAAAGCTGGAGAAAACATATTTTCAATAAGAAGAAATTAATAAATAATGTTACATCTCACTAAAGTCTGTCCTTTCCTTATCCAGACCAATATATGTCTTTAAATTTGAAAACTGTCATAATATTTTGAAAGTTTCTCAAATACACAGAACCTAGCTTTTTATCCTTAATAGAATTTACAATGTTAAATTTTAAATAACAAGGAGTGACAGCTGGGACTGATATAAATAAGTTATACACTGTGAGGTTTGGACTGTCAGATTTGTATTATAATATGCTTCAAAATCATATTAAAAGATCAAGACATCAAAGAAAACTGTATAAAACTATGAAATGAAATTCTTTATAGTTGTATTGATGAAAAAATATTTTCTGAACTAAGCATCATAAATATTTTCCTTTAAAGCAAGAGTTTTTTTACACTCAATTTATGAACTAAAACATATTTTTCAAAAACAAAATGCCACTAAAGAATGAATGTATATTATGTAAATGATAGAAATCACATTAACTAGCTTTAGCCTATAGTTTAAAACACTATAAAAGGAAACATTTTAATGTATCTTGTTTTCTACATAACTAAAGATAAAATGAATTAGGTTAATATCCTATATAATAAAAGTGTAATATGCAAATTGACTGAACAGCGGAACGACCAGTCAGCGGGGGGGGGGGGGGGGCAGCGAGCAGGCAGTGCCAAGGCCAGCCAAGGCGCGTTTCAACGGGCAGAGGGAGGGAACGGCGATGGGGAGGAGGGTGTGACCAGCGGCAGCGGAGGGGTTACGGTGGGGGCCGGCACCATCAGGTCACCATCAGCTCATCCGGTTGCCTCCCGCAGAGGGAGGCCGGGCGGCAATGGCGGGTGATCCTGTTTGGTCACCTCCCGCAGACGGAGGCCAGGCGGTGGCCGTGGCGGAGTGATGGGGGCGGTGCCATCCCCTGATCGGAAGGCAAGGTCGCCTCCCTCAGAGGGAGGCCAGACTGTAGCTTAGGCTGTTCCCCTTGGGGAACAGGCCTAAGCCATCAGTAGGACATCCCCTGAGGACTCCCTGATTGTGAGAGGGTGCAGGCCAGGCCGAGGGAACCCCCCACCTCCCAGTGCACAAATTTTCGTGCATCAGGCCTCTAGTATAAAATATAAGTGACCTTTAAAGTAATATAGAGGGCTAAAGAGACTCACAGTCAAAATACTTACCAATTTTTATCCCTGTATGGTAAGTAACTTCTATTAGTGATTTATGAAGCTAGCATATCATTTATACTGCTGTTCCAAACTTTAGACTGTGACTATTTTGGGTCAGAATGCAAGAAGTAAATGCAAGCCATCCTTAAATCATAAGTACATATATATTTTCTCAATCAAGGCATACAAATATGTAACTACTGTCATTTGGTAGTCTGAAATTGCTTTTGACAGTAAAACAGAATTCTTACTTTATAATATAAAATTATGGCCTCTTGTTAATAAATAAAACACATAGTATTTTAAGATTAAGTGGTATCCAGAACAAACTGACTAATGATTTAGCACAATGTAATTATAAAATTTCATTTACCTTGTTTCCTTTGGCTCAACGAAAACTTCAATCTAAAACTCACATCTTATACAAAAGTTAAATTAAAATAGATCATAATCTTAAATCTAAAATGTAAAAATATAAAACTTATAGAAGAAAATGTAGGAGAAAATCTTTATGATGTAAGGTTAGCCGAAAAAATTCTTAAACATGCCACCAAAAGTACCATCCATAAAAGACAAAGATCAATAAATTAAACTTAATCAAATTAAAACAAAAACAATCCTATATAATAAAGAGGTAATATGCAAATTGACCATCACTCCAACACACAAGATGGCCGCCCCCATGTGGTCAAAGATGGATGGCAGGAGAGGGCAGTTGTGGGTGATCAGGCCAGCAGGGGAGAGCAGTTGGGAGGGACCAGGCCTGAAAGGAGGGCAGTTGGGGGGAACCAGGCCTGCAGGGGAGGGCAGTTAGGGGCAATCAGGCTGGCAGGAGAGAGCAGTTAGGGGTGACCAGGCCTGCAGGGGAGGGCACTTGGGGGTGACTGGGCCAGCAGGGGAGGACAGTTAGGGGTGACCAGGCTGGCAGAGGAGGGCAGCTAGGGGCAATCAGGCCAGCAGGGGAGGGCAGTTAGGTGCGACGAGGCTGGCAAGGGAGGGAAGTTAGGGGTGATCAGGCCACCAGGGGAGGGCAGTTAGGGGCAATCGGGCTGGCAGGGGAGCAGTTAGGCATCGATCAGGCTGGCAGGGGAGTGGTGAGGGGGTGATCAGGCAGGCAGGTGAGCGGTGGGGAACCAGAAGTCCTGGATTGTAAGAGGGATGTCCCAGATTGGAGAGGGTGCAGGCTGGGCTGAGGGACACACACCCCCCGTCCTGGGCATGAATTTCATGTGCACTGGGCCTCTAGTTTTATAAATAAAAAGGTAAAGAATGACCTATTAGTATTATACTGTAACAATAAATATTTAAGGTAAAATACAGTTATACATACAATCTAGAGCTCATAAATTTGTGTTTTTCTCTTTGACCCACCTGTAAAGCATGCTAGGATTTATTCAAGGTTTTTCATTTAAAATTAATTATCAATACTTACCAGCAGCTTCAAGAACCAACTGTAGTCTGGCTTTGGCCTGTTCAGCTGGTGGCTAAAAATCAACCATAAAAGACATTTACAGGTCAGTTTTAATAGATGGACCTTTAAATTAATGCATTGCTATGTGAATATCAGAAAATATAGAGAACTTTATAATAATCAACATTAACATCCATCCACATTTTAACAACATTCCATCACAGCAGCCCTACCAATCTGCTTTCCCACCTTAGTAATCAAATCATATTTTTCATTAATATGATGCAAGAATTAAGTTTTTCCATTTTTTTTTTTTTACTGGAAAAGGTTTTGTTTACTACCTAACACTGTACCAATCAACAATAGCCTAAATAACTGAAACTTAATAATGAGGCAAACCCACATACCTAACCACATATTTTCAAGAGGTGCTATTTCTTAGATATGGAAACCTGTGAAGTGTGGCCTACTAGAATTTAAATAGTAACTTGAAGTACAATACTTCAGTCAAGAAACATCCTAAAACGAAATATTTTCTGTTTTTTTTATTTGTATTGGAAAGGAGAAATTGTGATGAAGATAGGACACAACATGAGTTCATGCTTTCAATTCCTACTGACTATCCTAAAATTGTCCTCTCAATAAACCTTAATTCAAATAGTTGGTAAGGCTGAAATGAAAGTACTTTCCTTCCAGTGACCTTATTCTGAGAATTTTTAACAATGTGTTGATAGCATTCAAACTCATAGATTGTATGAAGGATCTGTTAAAAACTGTTTTTAATACTTAGAACTTTAAAATACATTTATAAAGATGTCTGCAAGTGGCTAAACAACCTCATGTTTATATATGAAACCATCATTTGAGAATTAACATTTTATAAAATATATTAGAATATTTTGCTATTTGTGAAAAAACAGCTTAAATGAAAAGAACTGGGTATAGAAATACGTTATGCTCAGAAGAGTTTAAGAATTAGAATGGTGCTTTTGAATAAACTGTAGGAAACAGGATGGGAAAATGGTAAATGTGATGGGAGGGAAGACAAGGAGAGCCTTTTATATCACAGAACAGGGGTGTTAACCCTACACCAGGGGCTGGTTTTATAAATAAGTTTCATTGGAACACAGCCATGCCTACTTGTTTATATGTTGTCTATGGTTGCTTTTGTGCTCAATTCAACAGCAGCCGAGTCAATTACTTGTGGCAAGAAACTTTTGCTGGCAGAGCTGAAAATATTTACCATCTGGACCTTTATGGACATGTTTGCTGACCTGTGCCAAAGAAGATGGAGAAACTTAGAATTTGAGACAGCAGGTTGATGAGATGAGACCTGTATTTTGATACATCATTCTAGCAATACACTTCCGGATGAACTGAAAGGAATGTGACTGGAGGCAAGGAGCACCGTTAGGGAGCAATTAAATTCCAGGCGAGAGACTGTGAGGGCCTGAGGTGAAGCAGTAGCAGTAAGGCTGGACAGGAAGAACTAGATTTGAGAGATATTTAATTGGTAACATGTCTGTGTATGAGAGGAAGAGTTGACAAACAAAGAGTACTTTATGCCATACATTTGTAGGTAAAGTGTAAGTAATTGTGCTTTATAAAGTATTGAAAATACGTGACATCAAATTAAAATATAACAGCAACATATCAATAGAAGACTGTGACATCCACCGAATATAATTTTTCTAACAGTTATCAACTAAATTGCCCATAGGAGACAAACAGGTAATATAAACATGATGGCAAATGCATCTGACATCAACATCAGTGGAGTATGGAGAACTCTGGAGCACATGCTCCAGCCGAAGGGTGCAGCTGATACTCAGCACAAACTCAGTGTTGTCATGCAGAGATGCAAGTCAGGGGTGACAACATTCCTTGATTTTTCATGAGACCTTAAGTCACCATGGAGACCAATACTGTATGGAACAAGCACTACTTCTAAGAGACAGGTTCAATCCCAAGACAGTTTGTGATCTCTGCATCTACTTAAAACACACAACTGAAATTTAATACTTTGTGCAACGTAACACAACTAGAATGGCAACAAGGAAATGATGTTCTTATAAGCAGGTCCCAAGCAAGCTAAGAATTATGAAGCATACATTTCAGAGTGTCCTATTCAGCACTGTCCTTTGACAGAAAAATGATAGACACTTTGTTGGTTAATATATTTCATGGGAAAGTTTTGTGTATTTCATAAGGAAAGACTTTTTTAATAATTAAAAAATATTGAAGACATAGAAAAATATACAAAATGAGTGTCCACATCTAATAAAATATTAACAGTATTATTAAAGTCTCCTACCCCACAAAATCCCCCTGCATAGCAGTTCCCTCCCTCTCCCATCTATAACAACTGTCTTGAAAATATAATGATTACCATTCCTAAGGAAAGATTCTTGATGGTTGATGTTTATGATAAATCACCTGTTAAGACATATTTATATTTTCATTAATTCCTTTTACTACCTATAATATAGGGTTCATATTTCCAAGATAAAGAAACTCGGGGAGTAAGAGCAGTTCAGTAACTTGTCTCTACTAGTAAATGACAGACTGAAATCAAGAGCCTCTGACTCCAAATCTCAGGATCCTTCTAATTAAATCACTAGAGAATATTCATGAAGTCAAAGCAAACAATTTCATAGATATAAAAGCATAAGGAAAGTTTTTTTGATTCTGTTCAAAAGAAAAATCTGTCCAAAATAATACATTTGTACCAGTAAATGAAATATAATTCCATTCTAAATACATTTTCCTATACAGATGCAACTCGCTAAATTATTTTTGTAAAATATAGGGATCAACCCCAACTATGGGGATAAACTATATTGTTAATTCACCAGATTTTTAAAAGTAATTTATATCTTATAAATACTTTTATTCTTAAAAATTTTGATTCATTTCTCACTCATTTTTCCTGGATAGGGAATTCGGCTGTGAATAGTCTCTCACTTTTTGTCTATCTGCAAGTATCTTTCTTTTACTCTGACTAGTGAATAATTTGAATGGATATGGAATTTTGGTGGCAGTCTTTTTCGCAGCTATCTGCCCCTCAAATCTTTTCCAAGGGCCTTGAGCTTGTCCCAGAAGAAGAAAAGCATCATAACAGGTCTCCTGGCTGAAACCCTCCTGGACTCATCATATTAAGTACGCTTAGAGTAAAAATAACTTTGGGGCTTGAGTGCCAACATTTCTAATGCTTTAGCTATTTTAAAGTATATTAGACCCCAGGGATTAGCATGAATTCCATCTAAAGTTGGCAAGTGGTACTAATGTCATTCAGAACCAGAAATTAAACATTATTCAATAAACTAGAGGCCTGGTGCACGAATTCATGCACCAGTGGGGTCCCTCGGCGTGGCAGGCGGGGACTGGGCTGAAACCAGCAGTCCAATGTTGCCTGCCACTCCCACTCATCCTGGCCCCGCTGCTCCTGTCGCGGGCTTGCGCCTAGTCAGTCCTGATAGGGAGAGGCACTCACCAGCTATGAGCCCTGCATCTGGCACCCGTAGGTCAGCTGAGCAGCACTCCTGCTGTGGGGGCACACTGACCAGCAGGGGGCAGCTCCTGTGTTGAGTGTCTGCCCCCTGGTGATCAGTGCACATCATAGCGACTGGTCGACTGGTTGTTTGGTCACTTAGGCTTTTATATATAGAGATAATAATACCAAATACAAATGCATGGAATATAGCAATTTTCAATATAAGGATTACACAATGAGGACATATTTAATAGCAATGTCACAACTATGTTGTAAACTTATGGAGAAAAAACATTTTAAAATATTCCTTACCTTAGTAGTGCATAATTAGATAACTGTCTATCAACAAAATTGAATTATAGAGAATGTAAATGTTGTTCCCTTAAAAAAATAAATTTTAGCATTGACAATAACAGAACAGTAGGAACAGTCTGATTTTTTTACCGTAAGTTTTTAAAGGGTTTATTAATGCTAAACATTATTGTGTTATGGTATAAATCCAAAAATATATACAGTGGGGCCTTGACTTACGAGTGTCCCGACTAACGAGTTTTTCAAGATATGAGCCGTCTCTTGGCTGTTTTTTTGCTTTGAGTTGCAAGCTAAAATTCGGGTTACGAGCCAGCTTCAGATACCCCACCGCTAGTTGGCGCAGCGAACATCACAGTGAACGCCACATCAGCCCAGCATCACGTGTCTCACTCGTTCACTTTAATAATTTGACATACGAGTAATTTGAGTTACGAGCTCCATCACAGAACGAATTAAACTCGTAAGTTAAGGCCACACTGTATTAGTATATATACTGTACTATGATTTAAATTAATTTAAAGAAAAGTATACTTCTGCTAGAAATTCTTATCATAAAGGTTTACAAAAAATGTTATAGAGGGTCTTATTTATGCAGAAATGACCATAACCAGAAATAAGAAAATACAGAGTTTAAATTTTCTAAATAGGGGATTTGTGGGGGTGAGGGGATTGGTAGTCTTTCTATTGCCATGATTCTCCGGAACTACCCTCTCCCTTCCCTCCCCTTGGTAGCCAAGTATTTGTAAGACCTAGTTTTAGACAAGAGTATCCACTTTCTTAAGACAAAACAAAAGCTTCTAAGATGAAACCAAAAGATAAGTCAGTTTCCTAATGGCTTGTGGAGGTGACCATCCTCAATGTTTAGACTTTTTCCTTTGATTTTTTTATTTTTTTAATATACTTTTATTGATTTCAGAGAGGAAGAGAGAAGGAGATGGAAACATCAATGATGAGAAAGAATTATTGATTGGCTACCTCCTGCACGTCCCCTACCGGGGATCGAGCCCGCAACCCAGGTACGTGCCCTTGACTGGGAATCCAACTCGGGACCCGTCAGTCCCCAGTCTGACGCTCTAGCCACTGAGCCAAACCAGGTAGGGCTCCTTTGACTTAATATTTACTTTTATTGAGTCCAATTCCCCGAGTTCCTTATAGATAGACTGCATGTCTAGATTCTCAAAATACTGCCAAAGCTAACATTCAAGACAAACACAATCCTTTTAGCCATGACTACTTATTAAAAAATAGAAAACTCTGCTTATGTAAAC